AGGACCGTGAGTCGCGTCGTCGGTGACCCGCGTGATTCCGAGGAGTACACGTACTGGGAGACATCCTCGCATGACACTCTCGCCTACGCCTTTTACAGCGTGCCGGATCAGTACAGGAATGTCCCAGCAGTGAAGTCCGCCTCGCGCATTTTCGACCAGATTCCTGACGGCCAGCTCGTGCGACCGGACAAACCGGAGCCTGCGGTTCTCCGCCTCAGCGCGGTGAAAGGCACTGATGGCACCCGGAGGAACCTCGAGAGGCTGAAGGAGGAGTCCATCAAGAAAAACGTGGTCATCCTCGGCGCCAGGAGAGGCGAAGATATCGCCCCCAGGATCGGAAACACGATCGCTACTCTGTGCGCCAAAATCGGGGACATTGCCCGATTCCTGGAGATGGGAGTGAGATCCAGGGCAGGGCCTATCCTCCCGACCAAGAGTGATCCTGACCTGATGATCCAGGCCATTGTTCCCGCACCCGAGGAGCTTCTGGACTACTTCGCCGACGAGATCCGTCAGAAGGTGAAGGATAGAACGGGCGCCTCTTCGCACTACTACAGGAGAGCATGCGCGGAAATACGCGACGCGCTCCGTGGAACAGCTGTGCAGCCTGGAAATGCAGGTGCAGTCAAGGACCCAGAGTTGGAGGCCTCGTCTGCCAGCGGGCAAGGGAACGTTACTTCGGTGATACAACTGAAGAGGTTCCTGAGCCACTACTTCGGGACCAGCGTCGAGTCCGAGGATGCCTTTTCTTCATACCTCCTGTCTTCCTTTCTCGAGGATGGGGTGGGGATGTTCGAGATCATCATCACCGTCATTCGTGACAAGGAGCGTCGGTTGCTGCCTGGTTCCGCCCGCATAGCGGCGGTAAGGTCGCTTGAAATCGGATCCGACACTGATTACCGGGCATTTCGTGAACGATACCAATACATGCTCTACGAGAGCCCTGTTTGTCTTCCTATCACCTCCAAGGTGGTTCCTAAGACGCTCTACAAGGTGGTGCCTCTCCGAACGTATCGGCTCTACGTAGAACGTGGGGCGATCATTCGGGGTGGGCGAGCTCTGATCGAGCTCCTTCCCTCTCGGCCGGATGAGTATCAATCCCTCCGCGATCACGGAGAGTGCCCCAACGACACTGTCGACCGCATCACCGACAGCAACGTGACGGAGCTGCACACCTCGGGTCGACGCCAAAGGAGCGATCCCCGATATGTGGTCATGGCTATCGATGCACGTTTCTTCTCCATGGAAAATGGGGGCATGCATATTACTCGTCAGGGTACCTTTGCGTCGCGCGAGAACATCGCGATCGGGTACTGGAGATGCGTCTACTTCAAGGAGGACTGCTCCATCATTTACCTGAGGCCTTGGTGCTATCCGCCCAACTTCCTCAACTCCTTGAGTGATAACCCGAGGAAGTGTCGGGACGAGATGGAGAAGTACCATCAGATCACCAAGACGGAACATGTCCGCGAGGTGGTGTCCGTTCCATGCCATAGGTGCATGACGGCCCATCCGGTCGGCGCTCACCTGTGCACCGCCTGCTACCTTCCCATCTTCTACGATGGCGTCCTGCCCACCGGAGACACGAACGGCGGCCCTCGCACGATAGCGAGCACTGACGGGTTGGTTCCTCCCTGGCTGGCAAAATACGAGGGCTTCGTCCCCGCTCTGTGGAACAACTCAGACGCCAACGCCATCGGAATGGCCCTCTACTCGCAGAGTCCCGCCGTCGATGCCCGGTCCTTGTTGATGTCTGGGATGCGGCCTCCTAAGTACCTTGACAAAGAGGACGTGGATGGCATTTTCCGGAAACTTCACGACTCGCTCCGAGACGAAATCCTTGACGGCAAATACCGTGACACGGTCGACAGCAACGTGGAAGAGTGGGTAGCAAAGGCGATCCTGGTAAGGGGTCTGGCCTTCAACGGGAGCTCCGTCCCCGAATTCTTCGAAGAATATGAGGGATATGCGGCTGAGTGGGGCAGACGCCTAACCACCGCAAACTTCAATGCCAACCGGTGCGGTTTCTACACGTCCTACTACATTCTTGAGGCCCATATCATTGGGCTGAGAACAGGACACCTTTCTCCGATACTCCCCAACGATGTGCCCGGGGAGGGATTCAAGTTCCAGGTGAAGCTGCTCGCACAGCACTGCGGGATATTGCAGGCCATGCGGAGAAGGGCCGGTTTCGATCCTGCCGCGCGCCTCAAGCGGGCTATGGACACGATACGGGAAGGCATCAAGAAGGGGTATGTCTACACCCTCAACGACCTCAGCAGCATGGACGATCTGATCTACCGGACGTCCACCGTTGCCTACGACACCTGCTTGGCCGACCGTCCTCAAACCCAGGATGACATCAAACAGGAGCTATCCGACCCTGTACCAAGGAAATACCGCTTCCGACCCCGCGATCGCCATCGACCCGGAATTCGCCTTACACCAGGCCCCGGCGTGAAGGACGAAGACGAGCCCGACTTTGCTGGATCAGCGGAGGATGAGCTAGGATCGGATGGTTCTTCGCACGAAGATGACGAGAAGCCTGACGACCTTGACGAGCCCATGGGCGAAGACGAGGAGGAGATCCCTCCCCCTCCGCCACCGCCCCCGGCTCCTCCTGCGCCGCCTGTCCCGGTAGAACCGGAGACTCCCGTGGTGCCGCATGCAGGCGTCATTTCTGGCGATGCTGTGCCAACTCCTCCTCCTCCTCCTCCCGCTCCCATTGCGGCAGGCGTTACTACGACTGGGGATCCGTTTGAGGAAGAGGACATGGCCATCAATACTCGTGTCCCTGACACCGAGTCCGAGCTGGAGGGTGAGTCCGACCAACCCAAGGCCAGAAGGACATCTCGCGGTCGGGTCCCCGCGCCCGAAAAAGGGCAGGGGGGCGTTCAGGTCCCGCCTAGCGGGCAACCCAGCTCTAAGAGCATGGCCCAGCCTGCCCGCCCATCCCCGGTCCCCGCGAGAAGCGGTGTGGAAGGTGGGGAGAGAAGGGGCAGGACTAAGGGTTTCTACACCCAGAAGGATCCTTTTACCGGCGAGGACGCGACTCCCCGAGTTCGTCTTCGATCGGGCGGTCCCGGAACTCCTGCGTCCCCACCACGGGATGCCACCGGTTCCTTGGGCGGCCATCGCGGCTATGACCCGCGTGATGACGACAACGACGAGTGGGAGCTTCCCCCGGGTGTGCCTCGGACCACTCGTGCGGCAGATGAGTCGCGGCCCCGACGAGATGACGATCGGTCAAGGACCGCGCTTGGGGCCCGCGAGGATCGTCGTGGTCCTAAGGGTGAGGGGAAGGGTCGAGGAAAACATCGACCTGGCAAAGGAGGACGTGAGGATCCCGGCCCGCCCCGACAAAGGGATGATCGTGGCAGGGACACCCGCGGAGGCCGACGCGATGATCGCCGACCTCCTCCACGTCATGAGGAGACCTCCGAGAGGCGCGGCCCGGGGCGAGATGAGCGCCGCGGACGTGATGACCCGGGCGATGACCGTCGCGATCGCCACCGGGACCGGCGCAGGGATGACCGACGTCACCAATCAGATCCCCCTCCGCCTCGCCGACCTCCGGCTGGCGACCACAATAGGGGTGGTGGTGAGGATCGCCGTCGGGATGGAGGAGGTGATCGAGGTGACCGTGGTGGACGCCGAAGAGACGACGCGCCCAGGGACCGGGAAGAGCCTGGTTCAGGGTGGTAGACGGGTGCCGCAATCAGCATCCGCCGGTAGACGGGTGCCGCAATCAGCATCCGCCTTAGAAGGGCGAGGACAGTACGTGTGTCGCCGACAAACGCGACCGCGCCGGTCCTCCTCTCGCCCGTGCAGCGCTGCTGGGGGTGATGATCTCCATTGCCCTGTACCGCTGATCCGGCGTTGCTCGTGCCCCTCCCGCACCGCTGCCGTGCGCGCCGGAGATGGTTCCCCTGGCGATCCTGTGTGAGGCTGTGACCGCACTAGAAGTGCCGGACCGGCCATAGCCGGATATTTTCACACCAATTTTGGGGCTTCCGTTTCTACTTTCCTCCCAACTCGACTCCTCTTCCAACCGTTCCACGGCGTGCAGTGAGGCGCGGTGATCCAGATAGGATCCCCCTCCGCATGGCATCGTCCCATGACAACTCATGAACGGCACGAGAGGAATCTTCGTCTGGTTCCTCCAATATGTCTTTGTTCACTCATGTGGTCCACTCGTCAAATAATCCTGTCGCCCCGATAATTCGGGGTGGTGGCGGGATTTTAACTGGGGCCCAGGTGATGCCGTTTGGCTCACCTCTGAGTTGACACCGGCATTTTTGGTTGGTCCCTTTCGTCGTGAACTCAACTGTCTCGCATCCTTTCTCTCGTCCAGATATCGGATGAGGGGGGTGTGTTTTGTTCACGTGTTGTTTCATCATGTGGCAAAACGGCCGAATGGCCGTTTGGCTCAAGATTTGGATCCCCCGTCGGGACTTCCTTGGATTTGCGTGCGTTCGCCATAGTGCGGCGATTGGCTGCACCATCGCGGAAAAGGTCCGTGGTGTTCCAGCTGTTCGGCACTAGGAGGTGGGCGGCAGGTCGCCGAGGTGCTCCCGGGCCCGACCCTTGTCTTTACCCTCTTCTACCAGTTTCCTAACCTCCCCAAACTTGATCTTCATTAACTGTCACTCCCACAATCTGGTCACCGGCACCCTCTACATTGTGCTTTGGGACTGGGTTCTTTTGGTACTTCGTGAACCACGTGTACCTCTTTGATTCCCTGGGCTACTTCGTGTTCGCCCAAAACCGCAAACCAAACCATGTACACACACAACCAATAAGTCAGTCAATGAACTTGAACAATGCAATAAACAGATAATAACATAGTGATGCCTAGAGGCCAACAACTGCAACATTGCAACCTAGTGACCAAATCGGGGCATGAAGGGCCACTACTGAAATGCCATATGCCTATGGCCTGCCTTATGGCCGCAGGAATCCTTGGACGCAAAGCGCAATGATCCCCAGCTTTCCGCGAGGATCTGCCGGCAAGGCGCTTCACGGCGACCCGATACTGCCCGGACGACCCGAGCGACGAGGAGAGTCCGGAGGAGGTGTGCCAGCAGGAGGGCGGCAAGCTCCAGGCCGGTTGCGGCCAGGGTTTCGGATTTGTGGATACCAGCATGCAAAGTATAGGTGACCAGCCAGTGTGATTCCAATTTAGTGGTGCTTCTCTTGGCTACCTGCTTCACAGGGAACTGGGACCACTGCACGGTTTGAGCGCCGGTGGCTGGAAAAACAGGGAAGCTACCGCTAGAACGCTGGGTGCTATGGTCAAAGTGCTCTCTTACTTGGATTTCAATACTTGCGGCACGCTATTTTCATGGAGGGTTTTTTGTCCATCCAACATGTTTGAGGATGTTCTTCATCAACAAGCATAGCCAGTTTGGGGACTGTAGGTTGGACCCCGTTTGGGCTTTCATCATGCTCCTTCCTGGCAGAAAGTGATTGCCGTAACAATCACCCAGGTGTAGGCAGCCAGCCAGTTTCCTTTCGCACAACAACGGAGGCACTGGGTCAGTTGCTGGATTCGTGGAGCTCGCCGGCCTGGGCTTGTAAAGTTCCTTGCTTCTGGATTGTGCTTGGCAGTGGCAAATCCAAGGGCCACACCCACAAAATGCTTTTGAACCAAGCTTAACAAAGGGTAGAGTCAAGCACAGACAGGCGAGACAGAGACAGAGACAGAGACACAGACGGAGACCAAGACAGAGACAGAGACTGAGACAGAGACTGAGACAGAGACTGAGACAGAGACGGAGACGGAGACGGAGACACTATTCCCAGACTATTCGCTTCTACGCAGATGGCTGTGTGTAGTTGCTGCTGCGCTTGGGCTCTGTGCCAAGTTGCTTTGCGCCAGTATCTCCGTGCAAGTAGCTCCGTGCAAGTTGGCCCTGTGCAAATGGCCCAGGTTGCTCTGTGCAAGTTGCTTTGCGCAAGCTGGTCCAAGGGCTCCCCACGGCAAAGCCTTTGGGGAAAAGTGTCCCCCAAGCCCCCCCCGTTCTTTTTTGATGAAAACAGGTGCTCTCTTTGGTTCGCATTCAAGTCAGGTCGAGGTGGAGGACCTGAGGGGAGAGGTTGGGGAGGGAGGTTGGAGAGAGAGGTTGAGAGGCCCCAGCAACCATTCTGGGACCAAGATCTTCCTTCCGTTTTTTTTTTTTTTGGTGTTTGTTTGCAAAGCATATTATGAGAAAAAATGGGGGCCAACTTGTAGAACCTTGACGGAAGGATGGACTGCTGGCGCTGACAAACTTCTGTTTGGGACGGGGGGCGCCTTTCAAGGTAGGCGGGTCGTTGGTTGGCGCACACGGGCTCTTGTGCCTTGTGCTTGCCGCGCCCAAGGGTGTCCATGGCATATGTGCTGGGCAATTCCCGGTGCATGTCGGTAGACACCTGGTGTTGAAGGTCTCTCCGGCCGCCCTGCGTGGATGGATTATGGCCAGCTTATCATGAGTGTGGGATTCGATTTGCGAAGAACGAAGTGGAAGAACAGGGCAGAAAAAACAATAGAAAAAGATCAGCACAGGCACCAAACTGAAAGGAAAAAGGAAAAGTAATAGGCACATAAAAAGGAAAGACACAAACAGGAAACAAGACATAAAAAAAGACAAGTACATACAGGCACTGAGTCCAGTACTGCTTTCAGGGTTAGATGTTGGATGCATGTAAACTTTTATATGGTTAATAGAAGTTTGTCAAAACACCGGCCCTTGAAATCAGTGGTCTGTATGCTCCACACCTTCAAAGCCAATATCCACCATTTCTTGAATCTTAGAGGCGTGTGTACAGCTGCCGCGGCTTGATTGCTGAAGGCACTCTGTTGGGAGGGCGGTTTCATGTTGTTCTTCAGTTGCAAATTCGCCACAGGTAGACACGGGCAAGGGCTCCGGGGATCCTTGGCCAACGCCCAAAACAGCCGAAGAAAAGCCGCGGCTTGTTTTTACCCACCGGCTGGTCGACGAGCAAAGGGGTGACCCCTTTGCTTCCTCCAAAGACACAAGGCTGCGGCGCGAGGAGTGTGAGTACATCAACGCCTTGTGGGGGGGCGGTACGGTATCCGAGGGTGGGAACATGACAGTGGAGTGTGCAGAGATGAAAGCTGGGACCGACCAGACCCTGCAGGACAGGCTGCTTATTGGGCCATGTCGGGCATCGCGAGGTTTTTTGTAAGCTACCCCCATCCTTTCTGAAGTATTGGCTACAATGGAGTTTTTGTTTGAATTGTTGTACCTTGTTTGGCCAACTTCATGGCAAAAAAACATATATGAGGGCGGCACAGGTCATGGTAAGTCTTGCTCCATTGACTTTCCAGAGGCCAGGATTTCAGGTGACATTTTGAGAGTGTCGTTTCATGTGCGACATGATTCGGGATGTAGTAGGGAAGGCCACGACACCCTGGAATCCCGCCCTCGAAAAATGAAACACTTTGGACGGTCTGCGGGCAGGCCGGTTACTTCGGGCTTGATGTTCACCGGCGTCTGGTGTTTTCGCAAAGCGGTCGCGATTTCTTTAGGTTCTCTTGTGAACTTTTGCTTGGTAGTCGTTTCTGCTATGACCATGAGCAGAAGGGGTCAAGCAAACAAACGCCGGACCTCATGCCTGCATGTGTCGAGCGAGTATTTGGCCTACGCCCAGCTTTGTTCAACGTCTTTGTGCATTTTCTAGCATATGTTGCATGTGCCTCTTGCTACGGGCCATGTGCAGGTGCGGAGCTGTAGCACAGGTCTGGCTTCGGGTGCAGTTTGCTTGCTGGCGAGTTGGTTGGGATGGCTGCGTTAGGAGGTTGGTTGGTCAAGCAGCGTCTCCAGCATAAATTTGCAACCCACTTGCCATTTTCGTGCATATGCGCGTGTGTGCGTGCAGATGTATGTTTATCCTTGTGCATTTCAACTTCTAGCATTCGTCTAGCAAAAACTTGGCGTGGTTCCCAAAAGGGAGGGACCAACGAATGCAAAGCTCTGAAGTCGCTCGGCAGGAAATCCTAGTGGGGCGGGAGGCGGTCGCCGTTGACTGCAGAGTTGGTCCCGATGTGCGTGGCAAGGCTGGAGATTGCGTTTGGCGCGCGCCGTTTTTCCCCCGCAAGGCCTCGCAGAGAGGGAGGTTTCGCGGAGCATCCTTCCACAAGAATGCTTTGAGTCCAAAGGGTTGGCATTCAGCATTTTGTTGGCTGCGGCCGTTTGCAGAGCGTGGCCAGTGCAAACTTGCCAACTGCTCGCGCGGGCAGCCAACAAGCAGGCAAGCCAGCAAGCAAACTGTCTCACTGGCGTAGAACCGTCTTACACGCTTACGCACGGCTCAAGAAAAGCGCGCTTACCACAGGGTTGGAAGTTGACCCTTCTAGGTTGTTTAGCCTGTTCTATTGGTTATCAGCCGTAAGCGGCTCACTGTACAGAGTTGTGCGCCGTGGATGGCGACCCTGGAATCTCCCTTACTGTCAGGAGCATGAGGGTGATGATACCTCGCACTATGCACCTACAAGTCGCGCGAACTCACAAGTGGCCAGAGAGCTCATCAGGAACGGACAAGCTTTGAACAGTCAAGGCCCCAAATCTCTTCGATCCATGAGGGACCAAAGAAGGCCGAGCGATCTGGTGCTCGATCCCCATCACCCTTTGGATCGGATTGGCATCGGCGTGGTGACGTCGTCATGTATGACCCTCAGTCAAAACTCGCAAGGGGAAACCCTATGCCACAGTAAACTGGGGGGTGCTTTGGTATGTGCTTTTGTGCTTTTGGTTTTCGGTTGGCTTGATGCCTCCCAAAGCTGCACTGCTCCAGTGAACCCAGCACGTCCATACCGAGTTTTCTGTGGTCGGACCTTGTGTACTGATAAAACTTGGCCTCGACCATGTTTTACTCAAAGCCTATGTTTTACTGGCGGCCCATTGTCGCTCAAGCTGCCAAACACCGGCCTGTATACATATATATAGTCTATACTATGCAAATATAGAGCGCGCCCCTTCCCACGCCAATCCTCCTCTCCAGAAGAAAAATGAAAAGGAGGGTTTGTGTAGCCCCCTCCCCCTCCCCCTCCACCCCCTACTTTAGTAGGGCGGCTGAAGTGTCAGCTCTTGAACACTCTTTGCTTGGGCGCTCACTGCAGCAAATAAACAAAAAATAGGGATTGTATCCCCTTTTTGGGATGTTTTTAAAAGGAGGATCAGGATGAGACAGTGCTGTAAAAAAGAGGGACCCGGGAAGAGGACCCGGGGGTTTTGGGGCAGTCTTCCCGGGCCCCTCTTTTAAAAAATGCCTATGTTGGACTATGTCAAACCATGTTATCCCTTTTTGTTTGGCTTTCCAAGTTGAACATTTAAGTTTGCAAAAAAAACATCCATTTTTGAACCAGTCGCTTTGCCTAAGCCGAGCTTACACGTTGAAAGTTCAGTTTCCTGCAGCCTGGCAACTTTCAAGCAATTCACACCTGCCCCACTTGATTTTCCACGATTTCATTTTCACTTGTTCAGATTCAAGCCAACATGCGTCATAAGACATATGAATTCAACATGCTGACGCAATCCACCATGATTTCTCCGCCGGTCGGGTCCCACGCGCGCCATTGCCACTAGGCTGCATTAAGGTGGTGGGGGGGGCAGGGCGGACAAACAACTGGGATCTTATGGATTGTTTATTTTTTTAGGAAGACCCTTCGCACACCCGAATTGGTGCTGTGTAAGCGCCAGCAGCTGGTGCTGGGTAAGCGTCGGGCTGGGTGCTGCATAAGCGCCAGCTGATGGTGCTGTGTAAGCGTCATCGCTTGGTGCTGCACAAGCGCCAGCAGATGGTGCTGGGTAAGCGCCATCTGCTTGGCGCTGCATAAGCGCCAGTGCATGGACATCATGGAACCAGCAATTATTTTTGGGGACATCATGGAACTAACGTCATGAAACATGAAACATCATTTGTTAGCGCTTTTTCAGCACTCATCTTAAGTATTGATACAGTCAGTTTCGAACGCAACCAAACTTGATGGCAGTGGGAACCAGAATGCAAAACAACGAAATCATTTGCAATCCAAGACATTGAAGTGAAGTTTGCAATACCAGGGGATGCGCATCTTGATTTTCAGCTCAAGAAGTAATTACATAGAATTGGGGGGCGCGTCCGCAGCACCATGCCATTTCTTTATGCCATTTCTTTAGAAGAAAAAACAGATGTTCGTAAACACACGCTTACTTACCATCAACCCATTTGAGGATGATTGAACAACTGTTTGGTATGGATGATTGAACAAATTTGACGTTGAAGCGGTTGGCCAAGAGAGGAGCCGAAGACCCTTCATTGAGGCAACTATTCACAGTACGCGAACCCTATTCTTAGAACCAACTTGTATGTTCATGAACCCTTGAATTTTCATCATTGCGTGCCATGTGAAGGGCGCAGCCCGTGCATACATACATGATTGCGGGGCCGTTGTCATTGATTGACATGGGTCATTCGTACAGTCATTATAGAAAACATGCCCATCTTAACCCAAACAAGATCCAAAAACCTGCATTTTTGGGGAGTGTCAAAGGTCCCATCCAGCGACCCGTCCCGGATTTTGGCACTCATCTTGAGGGGTTGCCATCTGGCACCCCCGTGAGGGTGCCAGATTTGGAAAGATTTCTGTCTGTTAGTGAACTGTCAAACCAGTTCATCTTTTGGTGCAATCCACAAGTTGGGCACAAATGCAGCTTTTAATATGGGAAAGACACCTTGTCCAGATCAAGAAATCCACATGTTTGAGGCTTCCGTGGACCTAGGCATGAATAACCCTGCAAAAATCAGAACCCAAAAAGGTCCATGGTAGTTCGAGGGTGAAAAACCCTGCATTTTTGAGGCTTTTGTGGACCCAGGGCTAAATAACCTTGCAAAAACCATGGGATTTTGGCAAAGCTTAAAATAGTCTTCGGGGGCCGCCTTTTTGGCACTCATCTTGAGGGGTTGCCATCTGGCACCCCCGTGAGGGTGCCAGATTTGGAAAGATTTCTGTCTGTTAGTGAACTGTCAAACCAGTTCATCTTTTGGTGCAATCCACAAGTTGGGCACAAATGCAGCTTTTAATATGGGAAAGACACCTTGTCCAGATCAAGAAATCCACATGTTTGAGGCTTCCGTGGACCTAGGCATGAATAACCCTGCAAAAATCAGAACCCCAAAAAGGTCCATGGTAGTTCGAGGGTGAAAAACCCTGCATTTTTGATGCTTTTGTGGACCCAGGGCTAAATAACCTTGCAAAAACCATGGGATTTTGGCAAAGCTTAAAATAGTCTTCGGGGGCCGCCTTTAGACCCAAAAGGCGGCCGGGTTACAAACAGCTTCCCGCATCCATTGCCGCAAAAAAAATGGCAAACAGTTGTTTTTTTTGGATGCCTTTCCACGCCCTCCTCACGCCCAAACTCCGTCTCCAGACCGGGCCCAATTCAAGCCTCAGGCCCAAGCCTCAAAGCGGTCCGTCTCCAGAATTCAAGCCTCAGGTCCAAGCCTCAGGGCGGTCGTGTGGTCTCATGCGGATTTGATGCTTTCAGGTCCACACGCAGGTGCTGAAGAAGCGCCCCCATTCAAACAAATCGTGAGATTAATTAGCCCGAAATGACAGCTTGCTGCAGTTACGGGGCCAAGCGTGTTGCGTGATGGCAAAATGAAAAATGACCGCAATATGTTTTTTGGAGCATCCTGTTACTTTGTGTTCCGGCCCCCCACTGTGCTACTGTTTAGCAATGGCGGCTTGTTCCACTGGCGCAGCGCCAACTGTTGCCCTGGTTCTTCGCCCTGAGTGGGCGCAGAAGGTCTTGGATGGCAGCAAGACACTTGAGCTGAGGGGTTCCGCAACAACAAAGAGATGCAAGGTGGCCGTCGCTGTGTCTGGGACCGGCTGTTTGGCCGGAGAGGTTCGGATTACCGACTGCATTTTGATTGCCGAGCGCAACAACGAGACCGGACTCTACGAGGATTGTGCGCCATATAGCCTCCGTGGATTGGCTCACCAGCACCATGTGGACAACCCCGAGGAGGTTCTCAAGTACCAGAAGGTTTTTGGATGGGTTCTGGAGGAGGCCCGGCCGTATGAATTTCCGGAGAGCTACAGGCACGCAGCCGGCGCCATTGGGTGGGTTCGACTTGACGGCCCAGCCCCAACGAAAAGGCCAACGGCCGGGGTCAAGCGGTCTCAGAAGCGTCAGTAACCGCAGCTGGCCACAAGACTGCCATGCCGGGCAATTGACAAAGAGGGAAAATATCAGATAGCTCGGTGGATTGCAGCGGCATGTTGATGATTTTTAGAGTATTGTGTGTATGCTTGGTTTCTAAAAAAATCACTGTGCTGAGGAAGCGCTCCGCAGTGCTGAGGAAGCGCTCCGCTCGAACCACTCTGCGCCGAGGGCAAACCTTGCTTCTGGCCCAGGTTTTCACGACGTACTTGTCGCCGAAGCGCCGTCCCCAGTTCGATCACTTTCGGTTTTGGTGCATGGGTCCGCCGGGTTGCTGGATAATAAGCGCCAAATGATGGCTACGAGAGTTTGACCTTCAACTGCGTGCTTCCGTTGAAACTCAGCTTGTTCAACGGAGTGCTTCCTGATAGTACCTATTTCAAAGAGAAGTGCCAAGGTGCCATGGACATGAACACACATATATATATAGAGGCATTTCTTTTGTGCTGTCCGGTTGAACGATGGATTGTGCCAGAAAAAACACTCAGAGCGACTTTTCATACTGCAAGAACACCCTGCAGTGCTGAAAACACATGTCTGACGCTAAATCCAAAATGATCCAGCCGTGGTGTGCTGAAGAAGCGCCCATCAACCAAGGTTTATCTGTTTTTTTATTGGTATAAGTATATAGTTTTAGTTGGTTGTGGATCCAACTGATGATTGTCCCCTTGTTGTTGCGGCTGATGGGTATGGACTGATAGCTGTCGTGGGCGCTTAGGTTCCGATTCTGGCGCGTGGCTTGGCTTGCCGTCTTTGGAGCGCTTGACTCAGCCGGGAAAGTGTTGAAGGAAGGGTTCTTCCCCTTTAGTCATGAAACATGTGGATAGAGTGCTGCAAGAGCGCCAAGTCA